GATGACCTGGGCGTAGGTGGGCAGGGAATTGATGAAGTAGAAGACGTGACTGTCGCAGATCGTTCGGTCCTCTGTCAGCACATCCCGATGGTCGTCAGACGAGCATAGTGGATCAGTATCCAGAAAGCCCGATCCAGTCATGGCGCGCGTCAGACGAATCAAAGGCTTCACCTGGATGGGGAAACGCGATCTGGCAACGTCGAAGATGGCGCGACGAGAAGCCGCATATTGCCAGTCGAACTGCCAATATTGCCGACAGATGGCAGCAACGGATTGACTTTCACTACGACCAAAGAGCGCGATCCAAACTTCGACGAAACCGTCAAAGTCTGGTATCGTCTCCACGGAAGTCATGTCCAACAGAGAAAGAACAAGTCCTAAGTAATCAATAGTGAGACAACTATCATCCAAGAAGAAGAAATTGAAAGTACCTTTGAAGACCGAGCGAAACGCAATTACATTGGAGTCCGTTATTGACGAATCAGCCTTGAAAGCAAGGACGGATACGAAGAAGGGTGACGCGGTGAGCATATGGAAGAGTATGCTAAACAGGCCGTTGTCAGGTCTGAGGCATGTTTCGAGTATCGCGTTGTATATTGGTCTTGGCCCCACAATGAGGGAGTCCAAGAAGGGCCTGTAGGAGTCGGGAATGTCCGACATCTCGGAAGCGGTACTCGTAACACGATATAGGACGAATGCCCATGCCAGATGTGTGCATACGAATTGACTGCTGTCGTTCTTCAGAACTAGCTCATGTATTCGTTTGAGTGAGGAGGGGGAAGAATGGTATAGTTCTGAACGCGAGGGAGTGTCGGATATCTGGAACGAATCTGGATCCACCAAGGTTTCCAATTCGAAGATTTCGATGGTGATGAGGTTCCACAGAACAGCTATGTCCTGCTCGATTCTCTTAGCTTCGTTGTCGAAGAAGATGTTCGCGTCAACATGGGTGTTACCAAGATTGGTGCTGAAGGCGGCGGAAAGGATCTTCTCCACTAATGACCCATCGCAGGAAACAGACCCCCACATCGTCCAAAACAAGACTTCAAGAAGAACGAGCTGTTCCTTGAAATCCTGCCGGCGAATTGATATGCAGACTTTGGATCCTTGGTGAATTCCTTGCCAATTCCATCCTTCACCTTCCGCGTGTACTCGGCTAGTAGTGATTCCACAAACTTGGGCCCATCCGAAAGGATTTGTGGTAAGAAGGATGTGGAAACCTCGAACGCGGGATCCGATGGGTCTTCCTTGGCGCGAAAGAGGGGAATGAGGACGCGAAAGACGGAGAGGCGCTCCGAGAGGTAAAAGGGAGTTATGGCTTCGATACACGCTTGGACCAGCGAATCGCCTGGCTCGGACGAGGGAAGTCCTTGATTGTACATGAACGACCGCAGGAGGATGAACGCGCTGACTTCATCGATTTTGAAGGCATCGCTGATGGCGAGAATGAACTCTTTGTCTGCATCCTCTATGCGAAAAACCACGCCGTCACTCAGAGTCACTGAACCACTTTGTATCCGCTTCCTCGACGCATCTGAAGGTTTCCCAAATGGATCCCGGAGACTTTTGAGTTGATTGACACGCGGCGTGAGGTATTCCACGACCTGTTTCGGTGACGTTCCTTCAAGTTGGCCAGAGAGAAATTCGTGCAGTTGTGAATATGTTCTGGACAGACATTGGAATTATTGAAAAGAGAATAGTGGCAGTAGACGCACATATCAACAAGGTTGGACCTCTCATTGGATTTTCCCGACATTGTCCAACCGTCCACTGCCTACAAAGCCCACTGGCGCACTTGGTGGCGGTTCAGAGAAAGAGTTGGCGCACGTGATGATGTGTCACGAGTGTGACATGACGCGATCGAGTTACTGCGAGTCGCGACTCGAGAAATGAACTCTACTCTGCATGATTCCTTGCCATATTGAGTGTAATTAATGAGCACGATTTCTACACGTCCTCGGTCGTACATGGAGTAGTACGGAAAGCGTCGTAAGTATGTGCATGATATAGAAACGACATGATATAGAATAAGTTACATGGTATCATCACCTCATGGAAATCCACCCCCCCGGGATATATATCACCGTTGATCCTCATCGCGGTCCACCGTTGTGTACGGGTACGTCAGCGAATTGGTAGCCATCTTCGGTGACACCATTTCAAACTGACTCTCATCTATACTGGGCCCTCTGCCTCGTCTTCCGAATACCGCGAGCTTGACACGCTTTTCGAGACGCTAATCATGCTCGGCGCGATACTCGAGATTGACTTCGTGGTGGCATGCGTGCCTCCTGTCTGCTGTTGCTGCAAGAACTGCTCAGGTATCCGCGGACTTGGCGGCATCTTTTCCACACTCGGCCGTTCGCTGTTGTTGGCACTCAACATGCTCGTACTCGGTGAACGACTACCACTGGAGGAGCTCTTCCACTTCAGTATACTCTTCCGCACACTATTCCGCGGGTTTTCTGGTTGTGGCGGAGGAGTCGGGGAGGATTTCCCTGAAGTCGATAGTGTGGGTGAGTCCTTCCCACCTGCAGTAGTGCCCGCCGGATAAGTAGCGTTAACCGGCGGCCGTGCTCGTCTAGTAGGATTGGGATAGGGAGACTCCTGGTCGAACCTCAACCGATCAAAGCCAATGGTAGTCTTTGGTGGAAACATTGTGGGCACCGGATCGCTCACATCGGGTATATCGAAATTACGCAATGACGGCGGACGCGTAGAAGGACGCGTGGGTTTGACCGGAGGAGCAGCAGCACCCTGCTGCAGACTATTTCGGTTACTGCTTGTGCTTGAACTCGACCGATGCTGCGCTACAGGTTCTCCGTTCGGAGATAGTCGCCCGGGTGGTAGCGGCATCTGCTGCTGTAGGCTGATGCTTTGTTTGCTACTGCGTCTCCACAGCCGCCTGATGCTTTTTACGCTCATTATGGTGGCGCGATTAGGGTTGGACGCGGGTTCGCCCTTGATGGAATCGGCCGAAAACCGACTAGAAGTGGTTTTGCTATCATCCACCGCGGTGCTACTGCTGTCATCCCAGTAAGTTGATCCCCTGGAATCCGGTGGCGGCGTTGTACTAGAAGAGAATCTGCCGAAAGGGTCGGGTGAAAGAGGTATGACGGAGTCGCTACCGTTCACCGTAGGAGTTAAGTGAGGATATTGTCCACGACCGGCCCATTCATCTTCCTCTAGCTGCTTCCGCCGTTGATTGGTCTCCGCGGAAGGATTGGCTGATGCAGTAGGATTGAACGATTTAGGTGCGGATGTTGTAATGCCATTTACAGCGAGTCGGGGAGGTGATGGTGTGTTAGAATTGGGGTTGTCGAGAGGGGAATTGAGTGAGGTGAAGGGAACAGCAGGCCAACTCGCGGTTGGATTGATAGGGCTTGGAGGAGGAAGGTCACTTTGTGAAAATGAGTGGGAAGGGATTATGACAGAAGTAGGATTGAAGACTTACGTTTGCACAGATGGAGTTTTGGTCTGCTCCTCTTCTAAGTCGATAGAAAGAACCCGAGGTGAGAACTGAGCAAGATTCTGGGTGACGTTAGGAAGCATGAAACAATTGTATGAGAAAGAAAGAAACCTTTTCGATCTGGTCCAATTGAGCCGTGAGCAAGAACTGCGTCTCTTGGCTGTGCTCGAACGACTCATCGAAGTCGAGTTCAATGTCATCAAACACTCCTCCTCCACGTTTACCGCTAGCCAATGCAACATCCTCCTCGATTTCAGTGTCATCGTCGGACGACTCGGGCTGCTGAAGATACGCAAGACTGGTGCTAGTGCTGGGAAAGCTACCCGAAGAGTTGGTGCTATTACCAAATGTCTCCAAAAGCAGGCGAGGGGGATGTTTTTCCTGTTGATGGTGGGTTTGGGCAAAGCAAAGTCTTCCTCTCCAATCATAGAAGCATGCTCAGACCCGGGCGTACGAGTAGAGTCAAGTTGATTGGGGAATTATTGCTATCCAGCCGCTTGTTGTAATTGAGATTGCGACTGGTGATCCAAGGATTGAACCATGCGGCTGCTCTAGCGTCTATGTCGAATTCCACTTTTGCGACGATAGGAACATTAGCTCTCTCTGGTGAAGACGATATCACCGACATTGAGGGCACTCGTTCTGACTTTGGCGTGCTGAGCGTAAGTGTGGGAAGCTTCTGGGGAGCTTCCGGAGCGAATTCCACCTTCCATACGCGCGCCCAAAGGTGTCTCCAAATGTCTTCCGAGATCCGTGGTCCGGGGTCATCGTCCTGGACGAGGTATAAAGTTAGACCAGACGTTGATGGCAGGGCATACTCGCGTGCAATAGCAGCGAGTTGCAGTTGCAGAGTCGCATGAACAGGTAAAAGAGTGCCGCGACGAAAATGAGCGTGATACCCAGATGCGGTGGGCAGCGGTGGAGAGGTGAGACTACTATTAAGGTGGGGTAGAATAAGAGGGGGCACAACATGAACCAAGTAGGAGCTCGTTGGTGGGGGCGTCCGGGCCGGAGAAGCGGGCACGGGAGTCGGTACGCCGAGCGCATTCGCAATTTTCGCGAGGCGGTGAGGCGACAGCGGAGTCTGCGGCGACGACCATGGGCCGCTCGACATTGGGGCGGACAAGAGGACTAGCTTACCACGTGGCTTTCTGTTTACGAGTTGGAGCTCGGGTTAAGGTTCCACCATGTACGGACTTAACGGAGATGACCCACCTATCACTGATCGACATGAACGTCTTCAAGCGCGCGTCTTTCTGTGAACCTGCCTTGGCCTAGCCTCAGTCAAGGATAAGTGGATGACTGAACTTGACTTGTCTTGTACAAACTGTGTAGAGTGAACAGCTCGTTGCAATTGAGGTGTGTTAGAGCATAACCTCCTGTTTGTTCCGAAAGGATTGCTCGATCATCGATCATCCGCTCGTTGATGTTTCTTCAACTTACTCAGTCTTTTGTCAGATAAATTGAGGCCATCCTCTGTAACCGAACTTGGAAAATTCTCATTCAAAAAGGTACTCCTACTGTCAGAAGACGACACCTCAGAGATTCGAACTCTGGCGCACAAAGTGCATTGGCTTACGTAAGCACCCGAAGAGTAAGTAGCAGGCCAACCCGTTAACCACTCCGGCAAAGTGCCTTGTGCTGTGGTTCCTGGATATCGTAGTGCTTTCCTGATTGATGTTGATGGAATGCATACTTCAATAACGAATACTGTACTTCCGATACTTCAATACTTCCTTCTTCATTCTTTTATTGAAGATAGGGCATGCTCACGAAGGTCAAACCCGATTTTGGATAGAATAGAAACATGTGATTCCATCAATCTGATGTCATCGCTTGGCGGCCTTGGCCTAGTCCTGATCAGTGGCGCGTTACCATCGATTTCTCCTCCCAACCACCATGTCCCATACGATCCATATTCTCCTAGCCCTGACGATTTTGCTCGTCGCCTTACCCTCTGCCTATGCATTTGGGGCTGGCGATATTCCAGATTTCGCCTATCTCAACGATAAAGCTTTCCGTCACGGTGACATCGAAAACATCCTTGAAAACCTCGTCAAATACGCTGGACACGCCTCCGCTGGCGGAGGCCTCCTTGGATTTGCATCTCAAGTCATCAACAAAGCCTCGGAGGTTCTAAATTCAGCAAAGGTGATATCAAGAAAGTTTATTTTGTACGCTCTGCTCCTCTCGTCCGTTCGGTGCTTTGTCTGACATCACTAGGGCAACTGGCTACGCGACTATTCGCAATGCATGGATATTGCTGGCCTCAGTAAACTTAGCGCAGATACTCTAGTACTCGTGGTGTCCGTTCTCGGTTTCATGGTCCGTGCTCTCCGTTGTGATTAATTCGATATACTTACCAGCGTATAGACGTTTGGATTTGCCACCGAAGAGTTCGAGGTTACCGCTGACCGTCTCGGTGTTTACCTCTGTGTCGTAAGTACTTTGAGGCTATCCACATTCCCCACTGAATGCGCCCTCAGGAACACATCGATAATCCCAAGTGCGATGCAACAATGCCGTACCCACAATTTAAACTGACATGTGATTACCAGGGGATACGCTGAGAAGGAAGGTGATGCACGTCAATTCCACCCCAAGCTTCGCCCGCCTGTGGATCCCCGTGAGCTTGAGATAGACGAACGAACTGGTATGAAGGTGGATGATTAACATTTCAAACATAATTTATCTTCTAATGCATCACTATCCAGAATTACATGGCTACTGAGAATGAAGGCTGGGATACGTCAACCGCCCACATTCGTCGCGTCTTTAAGGCTTGCATCGAGCATGGACGCCGTTCTGGCGGAGACGAGGGAGCCGATCTATTCGAAGCCTACCGCCTCCTCGGTACGGGTCTTCATACTATGGAAGATCTCCTTGCACATAGTAACTGGTGCGAGATCGCTCTCCGTAAAATGGGTCATGAAGAGGTCTTCTGTCACGTCGGCGACAATGTGCTTGTTGAGGCACCCTCTGGCGACCGTGTCCCTCCTTTGGTGACCGGCACATTCGGCAGCGCAGATTTCTTGCACTCTCTTCTTGGTGAGGCAACCGAGTAAGTCGTGTGCTTAATTGTATTGATTATATTTCTCATGTCATTGTAGTCACATCAGTCAAGCTAGTGTCACTGCTCTCAGCGACAATTTGAATCAGAGCCAGAACAACGATACTGCCGAAAAACTTTCCGCTCTCAAGAGCATCCTCGGAAAGATTGGTGGGGGCGACGACAAGATGTCTCAAGGAGAGGAGTTGCAGGCTCAATCTCAAGCATATCACTTCAACCCAGACAATATTGCTCCCCCGGAGGTTCAAAGGCAACTGCTTGATCTGTTGAAGTGGCGTGATGGTCTTTACCGTGACATTATCAAGAAGATTGAAATGATTCCGGGTCTCAGCGATTTGATGGATGAGATGAGTAATGCTCTCAATGCTTGTAAGTCCGTCGAACCTCTCATTTTGGCGTATCCTCATTTACGCTAGACGTATATACCGTCATTGCGCCCTGGCTCACGGTATGTTGTGTTTGCCCTTCCTCCCACAAGTCGTTCAATGACGGTTCTCTCTTCCAGCCCATTCTCACGCAGGCCACCTCCGTCCTCGGTGAGGGAAGCAAGGCCGTCATCGACTCCGATGACCAGTACCAAGTATTCGAAGACGAGAACGCATCTGATCCATCGCACAGTCTTTTGTCGAAGGATCACTTTGGTCTCGTCCTTAATGAACCAGCTGGAAAAATTGCTCAACTCGTCGTTGTTCACACTGTGCAATTAATCGTCTCGGCTTGGGCTGACGACAGCGATCCCGACCAAGTTATCGACCAGGTTGGTTCCGGTGCCATTTATGATCGGCTGTACTGAATTCAACTCTCTTAGGCATTGGAAGCTTTCCACCACCCTTACTACGCTTCCGGTCGCTCTGAAATTCAGCGCCAGATGTTCGATGAGATGGAAAAGTGGATTGGCGGGCTGGGTGAAGAGGCTTCAGACATCGTTGCCAAGCTCACAAAACAGAGTGTTCGTGAGGGTAAGAACAAACGTGAAGGAGAGGCTGGTGAAGAGGCTGGTTACGGTGGGTGTGGCCACGGCGGAGGCAGTGCCAGCTATGCGAAGAAGCAATCGTCACACAACGACCAATCTTCTCAGCAGTACTCTTCTTCCTATGGCGGAGGTGGAGGCCGCACCGAGGACTCTTCTTATGGAGGTCGCAACGAGTCATCCTATGGAAGGCAAGACGAATCTTCCTACGGCGGGCGTAACGAATCGTCCTATGGCGGGCGCAACGAGTCATCGTACGGAGGCGCTGAGTCGTACGGACGTAACGAATCGTCGCATGGCGGTCGCAACGACGACTCGTCTTACGGCCGCAACGAATCCTCGTATGGCGGACGTAATGATGAATCGTCTTATGGGCGCAACGAGTCGTCTGGTCGTCAGGAATCTTCTTACGGCGGGCGCAACGACGATTCTTATGGTCGCACCGAGCCTTCTTATGGTGCGGGCCGTAACGAATCCTCCTATGGGGGAGGGCGTAACGAGTCTGGCCGCAATGACGAGTCTTCGTATGGGGGTGGGCGTAACGAGTCCTCCTATGGCGGCCACAATGAATCTTCATATGGTGGAAGAGAATCTGGTGGCGGGCGTACTGAAGAATCTTATGGCGGACGCCGCCATGAGTCTAGCCACGGCGAAAGCGACAACTCGTCTTATGGACGCAGAGGTGGTGATGAGTACGGGCGTGGCGGTGGCGATGAGTATGGTCGACCTCCCCGTGAAGAGTATGGTCAACCTCCCCGTGAAGAGTACGGTCGACCTCCCCGTGAAGAGCAAGGTGGCGGACGTCACGGTCATCACAGTGGTGGGGACGAGTATGCCGGAAGTGGTCGAGCTGGTTATAATCCCAGCTATGGTGACAACCAGGAGACCTTTGGAGCCGAAAGAATGAACATCCGCGACAATAACGAGTATGAGGGAGGAGGCGGTGGATATCAAGGAGGTGAAGGCAACGGACGCCGTCGTGAATATGACAGTGGATATTAGAAGGCGAGGAATCAAGGAAGGAGTAAAGACGGGCCTTCTGTCGAATGGGCTCTTATCATTGTATAACAAACATATATTTGTGACAGCTAAAGGGATTGTATCCAACTTGATTTATTGGTTTCAATTTTCAACGTATCTCGAGATTGCATAACTCTGATGGTTCGCTCAATCCATATACTTCATCATGTATGCATCAAACTTCTGTGCTTGCAAATTCTCTTGACAGAGAGGATGTTACCCATATGCGTTCACTATCTAGTGTCCTTGCAACAGGGACCGTCCTAGATTCGTTGACCGCCGCCTGGACATTGTAGTACTACGCCACGCTCTCGATATCAGTAGCCCCGTTCAAGGCCATTTTCCGCGTTCCAAGTGACAGTACCAAGATCAAAGCCTGCCACGGCCTGTCAAAGGACTCTGTGATGCATGTATCAAAATATCTATTCCATAACTCATGCCAGACGAGCGTTACCGCACTTCGGGAAGTATTTGCGTGGCGTGATCCTAAGACAAGATCTTGAAGTTGGAGTTGACCGTGTCAGGAAGTCAAGCAGGTCTGCGCACTCGGAGGGCTTCTAGCACGCCCAAGTGTGCCCCTTGTGCCCTGTCAATGGACGTTGTAGTTACCCGATCGCTATGAAACTTGCCCGATCCTCGATCGGGGATGAACGTTACCTGGCTAGTTACCTGATCGAGACGTAGAAACTTAAAGTTGCGCCACGTCCCCAGCAGTCAGAAGACATTATTTGAGCAGGGAGCAAAGGCATTACCTCCGCTTTTTGCGGTAACGCAGAAGCGGATTATATGGTAACGGTCCCCCGACGGACTATCAATTTGTGACGCGCATGCCACGGACACGGATCTGTGATTACAGTCCTCGGTTTGGTGCTATGTGCACTGTATAGGAACCTTGAGAGAGCCGGATCCGTCGGATATCTAGATAGGCTTGTTCAAGAGGCAGGAAAACTGGTGTTGTTATAGCCCTCCGGAGTTTGCTTCCGCGGTAGGCGACCATGTTTTTATACGCGTCTTTCCACGATCGAATCATCGATGCCCTTTTCAGGTTCCAGAGTAGACATGCATTATGACTGTCGCAGCATAGACGCCTATTCTTGGGACGCACTGACAGGATGAACATTGCTTCTGCAATACAGTCTGAGTCTTGTGGGTAAACGGCCTGATCCTCCTTGATTATGATACGAATGGCAAGGATTGGTGAAATTGGTATGGCAACGCCTTGGACTGTGAGCTCGGAAAGGCTCCTGCGACTTGTAGAACAGTTTCATTGAGAGCATCTGTCAGATGCTCTCAATGAAACTGTTCTACGACTGGATAAGTACATAAAGTTAGTAAGGTTTGATGAAAAGATCGCGATAGTCATAGTCTTGGCTGAGGACACGTGTGAGGAAATATTCCCGATCTGTTCAATTTGCCATCCAACCACCATCTCCCTCCCGACCACGACCAACTGCACCATTCTTTTTTAGGGCTACACTGCCCGTCCATTCCCTTTATTAAAGCAGAGCAACGCCGAGCGTCTTTGGTCTGGAAATGGCTTATCAACAGCAAAACCACGATCCCTATTACTCGCAGC